CTACTGGCTCTCACATTGCAGTCCTGATCAACTGCACTCGATAATCACGGAGTAACTCATTTGGTCTTGTCCGGCATTTCAAAGGCCGACCGCATTTGACACGAAGGTCTGCTACTGAAATTACCCACGTTCGGATTCCACGCGTCTCTCGCATCGTGGTTCCAATATTTAGTCAACAAGTGAACCATCTGCGTTCGAGTCGATGGGGTCCAATCTCAGTCATTCCTTGTGAATGTCGGTGATCTCTAAGGTTCCATACTTCCGCCCAACCTTTTTCATTGGTCAACGATCTTATGTCCAAAACCTCGAATATCATTCACTGTTTTGCCGATGATGCCGCTCTTCATTATTTTTTCTTGCCCCCACGACGGCTTAGATCCTTGATTGCGTCACAGATTTGTCGGTGATTCCAGATCAGACCCCCTCTATTCTATGTGAACATGTTACTGACTGCCTTAAATTTTGCTTTAACCAGTGTTGCCCACTTGAAACAGTCTTCATCCATTAACAGGTATTCATCACCGTTACTAAAATATCTCCTCAGGAAGAAAGACGAAGCCTATAAACAAGGACAAAGAGTCCATGTAAAGCGGCTTACAATTTTGATCAAATCTGAAATAAATCGTTTAGATAAATTGTACATGGACACTGTCCTGAGAAACTGCAGTTGTCGTGGCATGTGGAGAGCTATCAATCGCCTGTGTGGCAGTGACAATAAACATAAAAGGGGAACTGTCGATGTTGAAAAACTCGGTTCCGAGTTTAGTTCATTTTCCCAGTGCACAACCCTACCAGATTTTAGTCAGCTCTACGCCATCATCAAATATCGAACCCGACACGGTCCTCTGACAGCCACGGAAAACGAAGATGAATAAAGCATCTGATCCGGATGCACTATCACCCGTGGTATGTGCGGACACTCTTCTAGTCCCACTAACATTTAATCACTGTTTGATAGGCGGAAATTTTTCTGACATTTGAAGACTGGTCAAGATAAATCCCGCCCAAAAAGGAACCTGAGAAGTACCGCCCAACTGCTTGCACGTCAATCATACCTAAAATTATTTGAGAGATGCTTGCTACTGTCGGTTGTCGCTGAGTCTGCCGTAGACGACATACATCAATTTACATATTGCTTTTGCGCTCAATACTGGATGTCGTTGCTTACCTTGCTCACTCTATACTTTCGGTCCTAGACAGGAAGTGTAAGACCGTCAGAAGATGTTTCTAGACTACAAAAACGCATTCCGCAGTCTTGATCGATCAAACTGATTACCGTGGTGTTAATCCAACCGCTGGCAGATTGATCTGCGATTGTGGTAGGCAGCTCTGCTGTCGTCCTGTTCAATACCACGCCTAACCTATCGGGGCATTATGTGGTTCACCACTTTAAGTCCCGGGGCTTAGGTTGCCGGTTTCTACCACTGAATAGAAGGTCCTCGTGACTATGGGGTTCGCCCCGTCTGCTGTTCAACATACTTAGGTGTGTAATAAAGAAAGTTTACGTGCCTGAACGGCAAGAAAACCTTTATTCACCCGATTGTTTCTGGTGTTCTGCAGGGTGTAGTTTTTACTCGCTTTTCTGTTCAGTGAATTTCGAACAAGTTCCCATTCCTTCTACATTCATTAGCTGTAAATAAGCAGACGATGCTGTTTTAGGATACAAAGCACCCACCCCTGAAGAGGCTTTAGAAATTCAAATCGGGCTAAACGTCCTTAGTTTGTGGTTGTTCCGTTCCCTCCCATTGAATACCTCAAAATGCTAGAACGCTGCGTTTTTCCTGTCGGTCAGTAAATCATTTTCAGCCGGCAAACAGGTTTTCTACCGTTTCTACCAGTCATGAACCCATACCAACATCAACAGCGGCTTCTATTGCGGGCCATACGCTAGGGGAGTTGGCCAAAAACCCCGATTCCAAACCAACCATGAGGAGGCGTACGAACCATATCCACACCTTTTCGGTTGTGGCAGTGGCCACCAGCTCGATTGCGCATCGAGGTGTATTGGACACCTTGGACGTTCGACCCCGTCCAAAGGGCGTATAATCCGATGAACTGGACACCGGCTCCTAGTGGACTGCGGTTTTTACACACCGCCCCGCTGCCTTGCGGGTCAGGATTTGGCTAGCCAATGGTTCCGGTTGTGGATTCCCCAATAAAATTCACCTGCCTTGGCCTGGGCAGTCTGACAGTATTCAGCCCACAAGCGAATTATGGAACGTTTTTCTTTTTTATTAAGATTATTGTACCATGATTAGCCTGATATATATATATATATAGCGTATCTAACCAACGGCAATCCTCACCCCTTGGGCCCCGACCTGGGAGGTGGGTTGCACCAGCCGAAGCCAAGGCTGAAGCCAGCTTCTTCACACTTCTACGCATGTCATGTTCTGACCACCGCGACGTTTCTTCCAGCCTTGCACAGCGTGTGCAAAAGTGTACGGTAAGGTAGACGATGGGCAGGCATATGTAAAACTTGGCCCAGTCGCCAGAGGCGATGTGGAGTGATTACTTTTGCTAGAGAACAACTATCCGCACCCAATACACAACGACGAACCTCATCATTGCTCACCCGATGTTCCCACCAGACACGAGCAAGGTTTCGGAGATATCGGTGGTCGAATACAGAAAGTCGATTACCGTCTTCCGCTCAAAGAGACCAGAGCTCAAAACCGTAAATCAGATCCCTACGAACCGCAGCGATGTACATCCTTCCCTTAAGGGACAGTCGGATGTCATTGTGGCGCCACAGGTGTCGCAGGCTGGTGAAAGCTATTCTAGCTTTCTCTATTCGTGATGTAATCTCTTCCCCAACGCCACTACCAGCTACAATCAAGCCCCCGAGGTACTTAAAACTCTTAACTACTTACAGCTGATCACCACAGAGGGTGAGTGCAAACACATTCCTCAACAAACAGTCCCATGGTCCGGTTCTATCGACAGAGCCGAAGGCCGCTCGGATGACTAAGAACACGTGCCTCCTCATATCGTAATTCTGTTTTGCCATATCACGTCTACTTACTGGCAAGGAGAATGTTTCCACAGAATTACAAAATTGCTTGCTTCATTGAAAAAGACGACATCTACTACTTTCAATGTCATTTTGTATGAAATCATGAATTCGCACGCACAAATACTGAAAATTCGTCCATCCGACTGAATAGAACTATTACTAACTTGACTTGACTTGTAAGCTGTCGTTGACGTGGCTCAGTAAAACATTGTTGATCCTATTGGACCACCTGAGTTGAGTCGGATCACGCACTAGTTCTGATGCACTTTACTCTTCGATTCATCGGCCATTGTCGAAAATCGCTTCCTCCGTTAAATCATCGTCTGCATGATCCATCTATTTGGGTAAGCTATGAGAGGCTTAGACAAGAGCTAGGAGCACCGCGAAGTGGAGTAGATCAACAATGAGATTAAACCAGACGTGCAATGCGTTTGCTAGCGAACTCTGCTTGTGGGGTCGAGCGGGGAGTTGATTGACGACACTAGATCAAGAGTCAGTAATCCCGATGAAAGAAACGAAAGATTCCAATCTGCCAGGATCAACATGCAAACCGACGGCATCTACAGCGGCAGCTTAGGAAGGGCCTTAAGGAAGATCGCGAAAACTGGTGGGCCAAAATAATCACCGAAATGGAGGTAGCCTCCGCATCAGGGAATGGTCAAAGACTGTTTCATCTGATATGCAGCACCGGTCGTCGTATCCAGGTCAGTGAAACCACTTGCGAAAAAAGTGGACAGAGTATCCCCAATAAGGGACGAGTTGACGACTGGGTAGAGTATTTTAGTAAACAGTTCAACTGGCCTGGTGCTAATGCGGTTGTTCCGGCGATTACAGTGGGTACTCCATGGGTAGTAACATGTGAGCCTCCCATATAATTAGAAGTGCGGAGCTGTATTCAATGGTTAAGTAAAGAGAAGACAGCGGGACCTGATAGGTTTTCTCCCCATTCCTTTATAGCTGGTGGGCGCCTCTCTAATCGACTCGCTTGCTAGTTTATTTTACAGTATCTATTCAGAGGAGCGTATCCCTTTATTCAGGGATGAATCAGGGATCACGCAACGACTTTACAAACCACCGCGGGATAAACCTAGTTCCGATCGTCACAAAAATTTCAACTTGTGATACTTCGACGTCTGACACACTTGAGGGAGATACATATTCGCGAACAGCGGGCGGGATTCCGCCCAGGTCGCGAGTGCATAGACCAAATCTTCGCCCTGCGTCAAGTCCTCGAATTACGCCATACATATGGTCGATAAACAATCGCAGTGTTCCTTGACCTAAAAGCAGCCTTACATTCAGTTGACCGTAAATCCCTGATGGGTTCACTGCTTCGCAAAAGAATGTTTCAGAAGTATGTAAATCTATTGCGATTAATGTACCTGCATACTTCGGGTAGTGTAAGAGTTTATAGTGGACTATGCTGATCGTTCGAAACCAGAAGCGGTGTTCCTCAAGGGCGTCTTATTTCGCCATTCCTGACATAAGGGTATGAAAACGCCAACCAGGACACTGGGTCACATAGGTATCGTTAGGCTCCTCGGATGGAAACCCCGAGATTTTGGCAACCGGTGGTTAGAGACACTAAGTGATATGGCTGTCGTAGTGGCGCTCGTGCATCTACTCAGTTTTTGTAACCCCAAGTGACATGAATTATTTATCTTCTCTTTGACTATGCTCTTAGCATTTCTACCTTTGTTCTCTCTGTTATCAAAATGGGCAGTCGAAGGACAGTAACCAAAAGCGGCGCTTGAAAATGCATGGTTAATGGTTATAAAAACTGAAACTGAACGGATTCGTTACGCATTAGGCGGTCTCCAAAATATTGGTATTGAATGGGCAGCTGGAGAAAAGCTGCGCGATGTAGAGTACGTTGGTGACATCGTTTGTCTATTCAAATGTATGAAGGATGTGTAAAGCGCTCTGGACAGACTTTCAAGTTCTGCAACTCTATTTGGTATGCACTTTGCACCTTCACAGTGTAAAGTGATGCTACAAGATTGGGTGTCGTCTACGCTGGCTCTGATGTTTGACGGTAAACAATAAGTTATAGTGGATTGTTTTTCTTGTTTAGAGGACAAATGACGGTAGCGTAGTCAGGGGAGTAGCCACACACGTTTCCAAGGCAGGAGCAACGCAGACAGGGCTGAAACACTTTCGGTGTCGACGTGATGTTTCCTTGAAACTGAAAGGGTGCGTTATACTGCGCCAGTGTACGGTTTGGTGCGGTAGAGGTCAGCTAGGCATGCGCAATACGTGTCCTAACCAGCGGAGCCCAATGAGCAGAATTCAATGCTCTAGCGAGTTCATGTTCGATGCATTCCCGAACACACAACGATTTATTTCTGAAGTACTAGCCCACTTACTCCATACCATTTGGGACACACTATGAAAGCATCGATTTTTTATTTATTTTTTTATTACACACTTTCGTGTGATGAACAGCAGACGGAGTGGAACCCCATAATCATGAGTACCCACTGCTCAGTGATGGAAACCGGTAACCTAAACCCCGGGACTTGGAGTGGCGAACCACATAAGGCCCCGCTAGGATTGGCGTGGTATTGCACTAGATGATAGCAAAGCTGCCTACCTGACGGATGTCTTCTACCCGTAAATTCAAGGTTTCAACCGTAAAGCATAACTGATCGTGGTGGCGCAGTATACGCGACTTCGATGAAACGTTACGGTGTCGCCAAAGGTATTTTACTTCTGAGTAAGCCAAGTTTTGGAAGTTCGGGCTGTTATCTCCTCTGATGCGCCACCGTCATTGGTCCCTCAGTTACTCAAGTATGAGAAGCAGTCGACTTCAGCTAATTCCCAACCGTCTATTCTGAGAACGGGACGCGGTGACACCCGGTCTTGCAGCATCACTTTGCACTTGAAGGTGCAAAGCGCATGCCAAACGGAGTGACAGAACTTGCTAGTGGGGCAAACGGGTTTTGTGCATTCTCCATAGATGCAAACAGACAATGTCGTCAGCATACTCTAGATCACACAGCTTTTCTCCAGCTGCCCATTTAATATCAACATTTTGGAGGCCACTTAGTGCGTTCTCCAGTATTTCGTCTACGACGAAATAGAAAATTAATGCAAAATATAGAACTGTTGATGAAGGCCACTGCAAATTGGGCACGACCTACTCAGCTCGCCGTAGACCCTTACGCCACCAGAAGTATGCGAGTAGAGTGACCTCTGTATTTGCACAAAACTGGAAAGATCAGCGATTCGCTCCAGGATGATAGAAAGCAATCTTGTGGCCAGATATTACACAAAACAGAAATGGAATCCACGAAATCATCACCTGCCCCTCCCCCCTATTTTACAAAGAGTGGGAAGCCCGTCAGGTTCTGGTGCTTTTGTTTTTTCCGGATTGGATGCAAGATCGAACTTATGCTTCAGTAGGAGGTTCACATGACATGGCCCGCGGAGCCTCAACTACAATAGACAAGATAGTCCGATGAGTGCCTGACCAGCTGAACTGCTCACTGAAGTACTCCGTCCCCCGGTCAACCCGTTGCTCCTTATTGTGAATGACCTGTTTAATTTTGTCGCAGATTGTTTCACCAACTGTGGTTCACCGAGCTCCCGTGCTGTGTATCAGTTAGAAGTCTTGGTTCATTCCCTGGTGCAGCGACTAATTACATCTCACTAGCTGTCGTTGATCATTTTCACGGTTCTCTTGAAGCTCTTCGTGAGCTGACGATGCAGACGCCACCTACCCCTGCTTTGATCCCGGTCGGTCCAGATTTGAAGCTTTTTCTCCGTTGATACTACTGACTCATTAGATATCCAATGCCTAGGAGGGGTTAGTGCTTCAGATCTACAAGAACCCTCGCTGTGGACTGCATTCCTCGCCTAACCGGATCCAATTGTTCTTCTACATCACACTGCAGTGGGTTTATCTCTAGC